TTCTTTAACGGCATGAAAGCAGCTCTAACCCTTCAACACTGCAGCAGCAGCAGCAGCTGCTGCTGCTGCAGCAGCTGCTGCTGCTGCAGCAGCTGCTGCTGCATGCGCACTGGCGAGGGCCAACTGGCGGCAGAAGCAGCGAGCGCAGCAACAGCAGCAACCACAAAGGCTGCCAAGGGGCTACTGGGCTGCTGCGGCTGCAGCTGTCAGCGAGCAGCAGCAGCAGCAGCAGCAGATGCGTTCCTGCGCTCTCGTGGGCCGCTGTGGGTGCAGGACTTCTTAGCCCCCCCCACTGCAGAAGCAGCACCAAGCAGCAGCAGCAACAGCAGCAAGAACAGCCGAAGCAGCAGCACCAGCAGCAGCAGCAGCAGCTGCTGCTGCTGCTGCGTTGCTGAACCTGAAGATGACGAGCGCTGGCTCTTGGAAGTATTCACTTATGCCCCTTGGCGCAGGCAAGCAGCAGCAACAGCAGCAACAGCAGCAGCAGCAGCAGCAGCAGCTGCTGCTGCTGCTGCTGCCAATACCGCAGCAGAGGAGACCGCCTGCCCTCTCCCCAGCAAGCCGCTTGACCCCGTTTTGCCAGCAGCACAACCAGNGCAGCAGAGGAGACCGCCTGCCCTCTCCCCAGCAAGCCGCTTGACCCCGTTTTGCCAGCAGCACAACCAGAAGCAGCAGCGACAGAAACAACAACAACAGCAGCAGCAGCAGCAGCAGCAGCCAACTGCGCTCTCCCGGATGCCCCTGCTGCTGCTGCTGGTGCTGATCCTCCTGCTTCTGATGATGCTGCTGCTGCTGCTGCTTCAGACTCGCAGCTCATGGCGGCAAGGAGTGAATACTGTGATGAAAGCAACAGCAGCAGAAATGACAGCAGCAGCAGCAGCAGCAGCAGCAGCAGCAAGGCATCTTCAGCGCATGCAGGGCTGCAGCAGGGGCTGGAGGAGAGTGTCTCAATGGGGATGTCTTCTCTGGCGTTGCTGCTGCCGAGCCTCATAGACAGCAAAACAGCAGCAGCACGAGCGCTGCAGTGCTGCTACGTGCTGCTGCTGCGGGAGGAGGAACAGAGGTGGACGTACACTGCACTGCAGCAGATGCAGCAGCAGCAAGAGGAGGAAGAACGCAGAGGCAGCAGCCACCTATCGAGGTGGCCCTCTGCACACTTGGTGCTACAGCAGCGCAGCAGCAGCAGCGCGCTGCAGCAGCGTCTGCTGCAGGCACACAGAGTACGGCGACTCACGATGCAAGCAGCGGGCTCCACGGCCTCTGTAAGCCAGAAGCAGCAGCAGCAGCAGCAGCAGCAGCAGCCAGCAGCAGATTGCTGCTACCAGCGCTGCTGCTCACCACTGGTAGCAGCTGCCGAGCCCAAGGCGCTGCTGCTGGTCCTACCGCAAGCAGCAGCAAAGGCGCCACAGGCGGGCTGTGCTGCAGCTAACAGCCAGGAGCAGCAGCAGCAGCAGCAGCAGCAGCAGCAGCAGCAACAGCAGCAGCTGCTGCTACGGAAGAGCGCAGCAGCATTTAAAAGGATTTTGCGAGAGCAGCTGAGGAGAAGCCTTGAGGTGTATGTACAGCAGAGGCAGCTGCAGCACAAGAGCGCCCTGAAGGGTCTTCCTTATGAACTGCAGCAGCAGCTGCAGCTCAGCAGCAGCAGGCGCAGCGGTGTAGACTGTCGCATTGGAGCTGCGAACAGCAGCAGCAGCAGCAGCAGCTGCTGCTGGAGAGCAGCACTTGCTGCTGCTTCAGATACCGTGCTGCAGCCCGTCGAGCTGCATGCGCAGCAGCAGCAGATACACCTCGCCAGACTGCAGCAGCAGCAGCACCAGCTGCAGATGAGTTTGCTGCTGCCAGCCATGTAGGCGCCTGCCTGGTGCTGCTGCTGACGCTGCTGTTGTCCTTGTAGAGGCGCAGCAGCAGCACGTACTGCTGCAGCAGAGCTATATGTAAGCAGCAAGAAGCAGCAGCAGCAGCAGCAGCAGCAGCAGCACTTAGCAGCACCTGCAACAGCAGCAGCAAGCGTTTGGCTCTGCAGCTATAATATGTTTGAATGCAGAAAACAAGAAACCTGCACGCGACACCGCGGCATCAATTCCTAATAAATAATAAATAATAAATAAATAAATAAATAAAACAAATAAATATATAAGTAGTTAGATAGTATAAAATAAATAATAAACAGCAAACGACGAACAAGAAATGGGTGCTGCAGCAGTTGCTGCTGCTGCTGCT